TGACTCGCCTAGAGCAACATGAAAAATAATATGGTAAAAAGAAAAAGAAAACAAAATTTCAGTCTTTTAGCCAACAGTCCTCATGTTTTTAAAGATCCGCAGACTTAATTGGTGTCAAAGAAAAGTCAGAGGTAATGATCAAGGTATTAAATTTCAATGCAGTCGAAAATACATTTTTGGCAACTGGTATAGCATCCTTCCCCAAGAGGTGCATGTGATTATGACCATTTTGAAGAGGAGGAAATTGAGGCTTAGAGGAGCCAAATGCTAGCTGCATAGCCAAGCTTTGACCCTGGGTGTCCCTGGGTCTATCTGGCTTTGGCTGGATTCAAATTTTTCCATGACACTGTGGCCTAGTTCCTCTGCAGGAAGATATCTTTCGCCATCTCCAAGGAGCTTGGTTTGCAAAACATTCCATCTGCCTACCTTTTGGTTTTGAGGAGGCCTTGATCCTAACACTGATTTCAATTCTGAGACAATGGAAATGAAGACTATTAGTTATTTGTTCCATGCAGTGATTTAGCAGTAGGGCTGGAATAAGAGGAGAATTCTAAGTTCCCAGGAATAAGGTGAATGTTATCCTTATCACACAACTTCTAGCAAATGCAAGAAATGCACAGGACTTCTTTCAAAGTAAAATAATAATGAATACACTTTGAGAACAGCATAAAATACTTGAATAAATAAGGAAAACTTTTCTTGGAATAAGACATGTCCAGGAGCCAACTGTGGATAATGGTCAGCAGTCTCAGAATGCATGTTCCCCTGTGCTGTTTTTCCAGAGCTAGCATTGCTACATAATCGTGGAATTCTTACTCTTTTGTTGCCTAATTTTGTATACAAGGTACACTTAGCCAAAATATCTCCTTGCCTCTATTTCCAATTGTCAAAATCCCATCCACAGGGTCAAGTGCAGCTTAAGTATTACTTCCTCCAAAATGTCTTTGGATTGCTAGGAAAGAAAATTCCCCTGCATTCTCAAGTTGTTTTTTTTTTCTCTCTTGGCATATCACACATTCATTTGTACTTATTTGTGTATGTTTTAAATGTCTCTACTATATTAAAAGGCCAGCTGTTTTCATTTATTTTTGTCTTCTAGTGCATCCAGTAGAGATAATCTTCCAATAGGTCTTTAATGTGTGATATAGCACATCACACATTGTAGGCACCTGATGTTTCATCAATAAATAAGTGAATGGACAAGTGGACAAGTGTAGTGCCAGGTAAAGAATATTACTTTATCATGTTTTTCTTTTTTCTTAAGCTATTTTTGTTTGCTTCTAATGTTGTACCTTGAACATAGATGCTCAATAAGTGGTTACCAATGTAATTGTTTAAAATACTGAATGTTCTTTTAAAAATAACAAAGGTTTATGTAAAGTAATAAAAATAGTTGTAAAATTTATTGTTTTTCATTCATTTTTCTTAAAAGACATGTTTTAGGAATAATTTGCTATGAACGAGTTGATCTTGACAGTCTGAAACACATTTTATAGGGATATAGAGAGCTTTGATGGTAAATTTACATAGATTTTGGACTTCAACATACTTTGGTTTGGTCCCTGTGCTTGTCGTTTACTGTATAAATTTGGACAAATCCGTTAACCTCTGTGAAACTCAAATTCACCCTCTGTAAAATCAGGGGTACTAACTAACAATAACTCACAGGTTAGTGACATTAAATGGAAACTTTATGTAAACAACCCAGATCACGTACCTCGCTCACCATAAAAACATAGCATTATTCTCTTCCTTGCCACCTTTTATTAATATTTCTAATTTTCTTAAATATTAAATATAGCTAAAATGCATAATGTATTCATTTTGGTCACACAACATTAAAGTTGAAACTTATTAAAAATTTAACATGCACAATGTAATCCAAACTGAGATATTTTGCCAAGCATTTAAGAAACATTTTGGGCCAGCCGAGTGGCTCAGTTGGTTAAGAGCTTGGTCAAGAGTGTGAGCTCTGAGCAACAGTGTCGCTGGTTCGATTCCCACATGGGCCAGTGGGCTGTGCCTGAGCTGAGCTGCCGCTGAGCTGCTAACAGATGGCAGGATGGCTCAGATGGTGAGAGCATGTGCTCCTAACAATAAGGTTGCCAGTTCGAAATGGTGGGCTATGTCTGCTCGCAACTAAAGACTGAACTCAGCACCTTGAGCTGAGCTGCTGCTCGGGTGGCTCAGGGGATAGAGCTCATGCTCTTAACAAGGCTGATGGTTCGACTCCCACGTGGGTTGGTGGCTATGCCCACCTGCAACTAATTGAACACAGCACCTTGAGCTGAGCGGCGCAACTGGACTTGGAGCTGAAACTGCTGCACCCCCCACAAATAAGGTTGAAGGACAATAACTTGGCTGTCCCCCTCCCCCAATTCCCTAACAAAATCTAAAAAAAAAAAAAAAGAGAAGTATCTAGTATTACCAGTGTTTTGGACATCCGTTTCCTTTCTCTTCTAAAAACGGCGCTTTTCTTCTTTTAGGAAGCTATACTTCTCTAACTCTGTGGGGGACTAATGATTATAATTTCTACAACCTCCTTACTCCCCCACGCACTATCGACAGTAGGCATGTGTCCAAAATAAGCCAAATGGGTTTTCTCTAGGATTTGTCAAATGTGGACTATAGTTAGAGCCTGTCCTTCTGCTGGGAAGAAAGCAGAAAATCTTTGAGCCTGGGTATGGTTGACCCTCATGGCTTTCTTTTGGAGAAAGCCAGTCTGCAACAACAGACACATGGCAAGAAGGCCAAATTACTCATACATACCCACATTTGGTAGTGTGGCTCAACAAAATCTCTAACCCAGCATAAGTTTGATTTTCACATTTGTAACCAAAGTCAGGTATAAGCACATATAAACAGTGGTCACCTGGGATTAGCTGTATCCTTCTGCCTCCTCCCTGCTCAGCCTCTAAATTTTAGTACCCTCAGGTAAATCTGATCCCCAGGTAAATCATGGTGCCTACCAGGTGAAGCATTTAGTCTGATCACTGTGTAATCTACTGGCTTCTGTTTCACACTTATAAGCTGTATCTTTAACCTTGGTCATGGTTTGGCAAATACTAGGGTTTTGTATGGGAGGAGACCAGGTAGGAAAGTATGACCACATCAATCAACACTTTAGCATTTTCAAAAAAACAAAACAAAACCAAAAAAACCTCTAGAGTACATGCTTTGTTCTCAGAGCCACTATAACATAGTCAGCAGAAGATCCACCCAATTCCCGCGCTCTGTGTTAAGCAGTATGTGTCAAAGCCACCTCATAAAGCTGAGATCTGGCCTGTTGGGGTGGGAGAGGGAGCTGCTGACCAAAATCCAGTGCACCAGATTCCTTGGGTCTAAGTTGTCCAAGATACCACACTGAGGGCTGGCCCAGTGGCGCGATGATTAAGAACTGGCTTGGGATACCAGAGGGCCCCGGTTCGGATCCCACATGTGAGGGACAGTGACACTGCCCTCTACAGCTAAGATGCTGAACAACAGCTCAACCTGGAGCTGGGCTGCCATGCGTTGCCGGCAACGGCGTAGGCTGCAGCCCCCTGCTGCAGTGGGTTGCCATGGGCTACCGTGTGTAGCCAGCAGCCAGCGTGAGTGGCCAGCAGCCGCCGTTGAGCGGCCGTCCAGAAGCTGGCGACTGATCTGCCTCACCGGGAAGAACGCAATGATGGTGCCAACTTGGGCCAGTGAAGCAACATCCTCCACAACTAGACTGAAGAACAAAAGGACAGCAACTTGTCTGTTCCCCTTCCCCCAATTCCCCAGCACTGTTCCCATCCTTCCCAATTCCCCAATAAAAATCTTAAAAAAAAAAACCCAACTGAATAGCTTCTTAAATAAATGAACACATATTAAGTTTAAAGGAATTATGTTTCTCTTTGGCAGTCAATTTACCCCTCATTGCCCTCCCTTCCATCTTTGCTCCCTAACCTCCTCCTTTCTTGCAAATAAATTTAGATGACTTTTAAAATATGTTTTCACCCTATAGAAATATTTAAAATGCAGGGGAAAACTGGAACTAAGAATCACCTATAATACCACCACTCAGGAATATCCCGTATTAATTTTTTGGCATATATTCTTCCAACTCTTATTCTATGCAACGATATTTTAACAAAATTGATATTATAATGTATATCTAACATTGCACCCTTTTCATATTTTCTTTGAACAAATCTGAACATTTTCTGCTATTTAGTTTTTTCTATTTCTTTGATGTTATAGATAAAACAGCCATAAACATCTGAGCATTATATCTTCGATGTTGTATGTCAGAGGATGTAGAGTATTGATTGCACGTGTGTTGAAGGAATTATACCAAGGTAATCCAGGTTCTGACCCCATTTTTGTCTTCCTGGATATAAACTTTTAGGATGCATTATAATTTGAGATGATTGGAACAGAGATGGTACCAAGCGCATTTATAGTAGAGTCAGATGTTAACATGGCAGATACCTGAAAAAAATATTGTTAGTTTCTGGGTAAGAAAAAAAAATCCAGAAATGTAAAAATTAGTCACAATGGCTACACTTTGTCTTTCTACACTGCCGAAGCTGAGAGCCCATCATTGCCTGCAGAGCCAGTGCTCATTTTTCTGCCAGGCTTCCCTTGTACAACCTGGAAGATCTGCTTTGTCAAACAATAGAAGCATTGTAGTTTAGCTATGAGTTGAAAATAAAAGTAGTGTTCCTCACTGTTTTAGAGGAAATGCAAACTACAAAGGTGTTGAAATTAAAACACTGTTAAAGAAAAGATTAGAATGCAATAAACATGTGCTACTTTGACATCACGTGTAGTTCCACACTTCACCTGATCAACCAAAAGTCAAGTCCTTCGGTCCAGGGACGGTGCACAAAGACATTTGGTTTGTGCCTAAAACATCTGTTTATGCCTGTGACTCTCTACAGCATTTGACAACCTTCTCAGTGAACTTTTGAAAAGGCATTAAAATCAGAAAACCATGGTATCTTTGGAAGAATGGGGTGGTAAAAACAAGAAAATATTGGTAAAATAGTTTATTATCATTCGTTTTTAAAAAGATTCAATTTGGCTAGCAGGAAGTGTAAGAAAGAGATACAAGCTCCATTTGGCCTGAACATTTTTCAAGACATAAATGCTGTGGAGGTTTAACGGGGTGGGGGAAGGCCAGAACAGGGCTGACTTGGCATAAAAGCAATAATATTTTAAAAACTGGTTTTAGTTTGTATTTTTGAGACTGGACCTGATAAAACTTTGATTTTCCATGTTTGACAGGGTAGAGTCTTATTTTCAAGTTATCTACTTTGAGAACACCATCTGTAACAACAGGAATAATTAAGGCTTTTGATAAATCTAAGAGAACAGGACAGACCATAACTAAATAAAACTTTGGCCCTTTTCTTTGGACTAAAATGTGGTCAAATTAGACTCAGGCACATACACGGGAATTTTGAAATTATCTTATCCAATGGTTCTCAACTGGGGGACAGATTATGTGTAAGGCAGTACACATTCTCCTTCTCTTGCTGAGAACTATTGGTAGAATCTAATTCTCTTTTATTTCAGGTAGAAAAGCAAAGGCCCAAGAAAACAGATAAAATTCCAAAGGTCACCTTGACATTAATGGCAGAATAGAATTACAAGAAAGGAATCTTCTCCCTGGATAACATTCTTTCTACCTTACACCTGGAATCCACATGGACAATGCAACACAGAGGCAGACTCCTGACCAATGGTGTTGCTGAGAACATCTTCCTATCCTTATCCCAGAATTACATCGGCTCCCAACCCAGTGTCTCAGCTTCTAAACTCTTTCCTTGACCAAGAGTAAGCCATGGTGAGATTGGATTTATGTGTGAGATTCCAGATAGGCCTTACTTGATGGAACAACTCCAGATGACTGGGAGTGGTTGAGAGAGACCATAAGGCCCCACAGAACTCAACACCAGTGCTATGTACAATGTCCTCATATGTGAGGGGTGGGGAGGTATTGGTCTTCTGACTCTGGTCTGTCCCTTAGCCTCAGAGAATCTAATATGTCTGGAGACAGGAGATCCAGACACTAGAGAGTTTCCCCTCTCCCCCAAGGATATGTCACACAAGGCCCTCCATATGGATGGGAGCCTGACCTTTTAGAGTTAGCAGTGGAGAGCTATGCCTTTTTATAATTTGTACTAGTAGCTCTTCATGGCTTCTGCTGCTCTGACAGGAAAGAAATTAAACCATTTAAAAACAGCTGTTCTCTTCAAAGCTAACCACTCCTATTGCTCCAACTGCTGATATTATTTAGGAATATTTTCAGTTTACTTAAAGAAAATATACACATGTTTTAAATTATTCATGATAATGGTGGTAGTGACAAAGGGGGAAAGGAAAAGAATATCCACAGTGAGTTTGAAACGGTATTTTCAATATTCATAACTTTGGAAGCACTTGTGGAAATGAGTTCATTAAAATTTCAAGTTAAAAAGGTGATAATATGCAAGCATGTTCATAATCGCACTATTTCTAACATCCTCAAACTGGAAAGTTCTCAAGTGACTATCAACAATGGAATGGTGAATTGTACACAATAGTCACAGAATAGATTATTTAGCAATGAGAATGAAAAATCCACAATCAAATGCAAAAATATAGAGGAATCTCACAAATGTAATGCTGAAAGAAACTAGACAAAAAAGAATGCATGCTGATTGATCCTATTTACATAAAAGACAAAAACAAGCAAAACTAATGTATGGTATTAGAAGTCAGGGCAGTAGTGTCCTTGGTGGAGTGAAGTGATTGATGGTTGGGAGAAGGCACTTCTAGGGAGCTGGTAGGTAATGTTTTATTTCTCATAGGTGCTGGTTACAGGGCTGTGTTCAGTTGAAGAAAGTTCATTGAACTGTACACGTATGCTTTATGAAATTTTTGTATATATGTTATATTTCAATAACTTTTTTTAAAAAAAGATAAATGGGCATTTTTCAAGCAGTAAAACCAACCAACAGGAAAAACAAAATCCTCACTTTCATATTTTGTTGGGAAAAATAAAGATCTTGGAAGTGTACCTTTTTTGTAAAATATTAATCAAGTAATGAAATGAACTAAACCAGTCAACAGGATAGGAAAGGAGAAGAACATAAAAGCCTCAAGAGATGATCTCCTATCAGGAACTAAACAACCCCCTCCCAGAACTCTGCGAGCTAGAATTTCAGAAGCAGGTCTCTCAGAGGCGTGGAAACCGCTCATTTCTATTCAGGTATGCAAGTTCCAAAGCTACACGGCTGGCATAACAGGCTTAGTGAGGAATGGATTCACAATTTCCATTTATTATCAAAATATTTGCATCAGGTGACAAATCTGAAAAGATGAGATGCAGAGCTATAGAGATATAGTTTTGCCCTTTTATTATCGCCACCTCAGGGACAGATTTAATTTTGAAAACCCTGCTTGTAAACCACAGGTCTTATGTATCTTTAGACAACTGTCTGATGGCAATTTTTAACCCAAAGTTTGTACTTAAATCTTTTCATCAATATGATTTATAAGTTTAAAAAGTCTCAAAATTTTCATCTGTATATCACTTTACAGATTTTGGTTCATAACTATTTATCACAGTCTGAAACTTCAATCTTCAATGGTGACCTATAACAATCACTTAGTCATAAATGTAGTTAATTAAATATAAAAATTATTATTTATACATTACTACAAATCTCTTAAAAAGACCAGTTTTGAGAGAGAGAGAGAGAGAGAGAGAGAGAGAGAGAGGAGAGATATCAAGAAATTGCTTAAAAAATTTCAGGGAGCCTCAAGAATTTCAGTATCAGTCAAAGCACGTACAACAAAAAGCAGTTTTCAACATTCATTTTAGCCCTAAGTGCTTAAAATAAAGTGATCTCACAATGAATAACCAATGGTTGGCACAGCTAGTTTAAAACTCCATCAGTCCCAAGGCCCCAATATGTACAAGAATTCTTTGGAAGAGATTTGAAGGAGCATAAATGTTGCAAAGAAAAGTAAAAACAAGTACTTCAGTAATGAGTTTTTAACTCTCACGTCACTGCTATTTGGTGCCAATAAGGTTCTTCGACCTCTTCTTCCTCCCTTTGATTAGAAATCCTGCTCTACATAGTAGTTAACGCTGTTTTCAAGAGACAACATCAAACTGGCAGATCACACGAGAAAGAGAAATGAATGGTAATAGTATCTTTAGAGAGTAAGCATTATTTACACAGTGAGGAATGATTGATTCGATGGACATTAGACCCGGAGCTCCACGCCTTCTCCAGAATAACCGAACTTCATTTTTATTATGATGCTCCCATCTCTCTTAACTCTCCCCAGGAAATTAGTGTCCTCTGTGGCCCACAGAGTTTGCCATTTCTGTGCTGTTGACAAGTCTAGCCAAGGGTTTCCCTGCTTCTTCTGATCACCAAACCCGGCATTTTTTTTCTGGATTCATGTATGAATTCTTGAGGCAATGAAAGGCTTCTGAAAACTCAGGGGAGTTCTGCAAAGTCCCAATAATCCTGTGAAACAAACAAACAAAAGTCACCAGCAGCATTTGAGAGTCATGTCCATACCATGTGGGAGCGCTATAGAATTTCTCTGTGTAGGCCAAGTGAGTGAATTTGGAATGTATAGTTTAAAAGGAAAAAAAAAAAGAAAAGAAACTGGTAGAATGAATGCATTCTTCTCATGAACAGAATTTTTATATGGAAAGGTAATGAAGTATAGGCGTTCAGAAAACAGATTTTAAAGACAGGCTGTAGGGTTTGAATCCTTGTTATGAGTTGTATTTATTTAGTCCCTCTGTGCCTCAGTTTCTTTTTCTGTAAAATGCCTATAATAATAGTACCTGCATCTTAGGGTTGTCATGGGGGGTTAATTTATAAACATCCTCTACATGTTGGTAAAATAAATGTATAATTCGTATTTGAAATTGCAGTTAACACAAGAAGAGTTGGGTCAAAGAACCAAGTCATGATTTTTCATTATCTCTTGAAAGGGCTTGAACAATAATTTAAATATAATAGACTTTAAATGGATATTGGTTGATTTAATAGAGACGATAACAATTATTTTCTTTTCTTCCAAAAGAACTCCATAAATATCAGAAACTGGATTCAGCCTGAATAATTGGGAAGGGTTGGCAAAAGGCGTTTCTTCTTGTCTGTGGCCCCAAACAACAGTGTCTAAGCCACTATCGACACCAAGCAGCACTGGAGGGGTGAGACATGTCAGTACAGTGATGCAAAGGTGACTTCCCATCTACCCCGAACCAGCTCCTTCCACTCTTCTCCCATTGGGAACATCCACCATATCCACCTTGGCTTGGGAGCAGGTGGCCGGGAAGCAAAGCAGACTGGAGTAGTGGGACAACTGGGAGCAAGTGACATGAATACTTCTAATTTATGGCGTTCTCCATGCATGGCAGATGTGCTAACATGTATAAATCTTAGCACTTCTCTCCCCTCTCACCCATTCTCCACGCAGCAGCCAGAGCGATCTTTCAAATTTAGATCAAATTCCAGAATTCCCTTACTGGAAGCCTTCCAGGGGGCTTGCTTGAAGGAAATTCAACCTCCTCACCAAAGTCTCCAACGTCCTGATCCCTGATCGCACCAGCCTACCTTCCCGGCCTCCTCATTGTACGTTTCTTTTCCCATTTCTCATTAGGCTCAAACCACACTGACCCACTTTCCAGTCTCAAACCGGCGAAGCTCTGTCCCTCTTCAGAGCTGGCTGCACCTGCCAAGCTCACTACCTGGCAAGTTACTCCCCGGCGACCCCACGGCTGACTCCTCCTCAGCCTTCATGCCTCTGCTTCAACACAGCTCCTCAGAGGCTGTCTTCAAATGCTGCACCAATTAGTTCCTCCCACCTGTACTAGCCCTGTCACAGCACTTACCACACTTTACAATGATCTGTTCTCTGAGGGCAAAACGCTAGGCATACCTTGCTCCCTGTGGCACCCCCAAAGCCTAGCACAGTGCTTTGCGTATTGCAGGACTCATGACATACTGGATGCATGAACCTGTCACTTGATCACGGTGACGACATGTATAGGAAGAAATAGGGCATTATGAAGAAAAGCATTGCTTACTACTTTTTGTTGTTTAGTTGCTACTATGGGCCAATTAAGGCAGAAAGGAAGCATTTCCTTTCCCTATCCCCATGCTAGGAAAGAAAGATCCATATAGAATTTCTCAAAGTGTGGCTTCCTAATGTGTCACTCATTACAACTACCTCTCCGCACCCCTCCCCCCACACACACACAACTCCCCTATTCTTCAGGGAAGATGGAAACTTTTTTGGTTTTTAGGACTCCCAGAGGAGTCCGAAAGATTAAAAGGAATCTTCCTGGTATGGGGTTCAGGTTTGAGGATGGGTGGGGGCCAGAGATGGAAAATTTATATCTATTAGTTCACTTGAGAGGGAGAAGACTGGTCCGCTCCCCCAAGCCTGGGGGAGGGCCCACTAATGGTGGGTGTGTGAATGACAAGGATAGGCCTCCACTCTGAGCAGGGCCCTGAGAGGACCTCTGAGAGGATGGTGTGTGGCTGTCAGGGAGCCTGAACATCAAGAGCAGTAGCCCCTGAGGCCCTTGCTCATGACTGCTGACTTCAGATGGAGGCCTCGGGCTGCAAGACCGTCAGTAGTGACTACAGCAGGGTCGAGGCGGAGGCTCTTCCCTAATCTCTGGACTTCCATGTTTGTTTTGGACTCCTGTATAACTACAAAAAGTACTGAAATTAAATTTCTCACCTCCTGGCTTAAGGTGGGAGCTTAGAGCTTGAATTACTTTGATGTAAAAATAATAATAAAAGTGTTTCATTTCTTACATCCGGAAGTTCAAATGAAATTCACTTGATACATGACCCAAAATAATCATATATGTAGGGATAAAATGATTTAGATATCAGGGATTTGTTTTGGTCTTTAGTTTTATAGGTTCTAAGCTTTGATTCATTTAATCTGTCCCCTCCCCAACTTTAGGAAGCCCTACACACTGACTGAGGGACAGTCATCATGGTGGCCTGTATGTTCCTTAAACTGAGGAGGCAAGCGCCTGGACAACAGACAGAAAAAGGTTTTGGGAGCCACTGACAAGAAGAGTTGCTCTTTTTTGGTTTTATTTTATTAAATTTTTTTCCAAAGGGTTGTGTCTTAGATATTATCATATGGGGACAAGTACTTCAGTGAAAATGTCCAAACTCATGAGTTAATTCTACATTTCTCTTAAAAACATGAAGGAAATTAAAAGAAAAAAAAGCCACACCTCCAAACAAGAAAGTCTTCACAAAACACCACTAAGAGTTAGCAATACAGCAATACTCGACCTAATGTACACTCAGGTCTCCCTCTCCATGCTATCTCCTCTCTTTCCAGCCAAAGGTGTCACTTAGGTCATTTGATTCTGAATGATTAGGTTAACAATGTACCTGGGCTTTGTTTACTTTCCTAGGACTCTTGTTATTGCTTGGTTGTTTATAACACCAAATCTTTGGATATATGACATAAACAATCTATCTCAAAGAGTGAATACATTATTAATAAAAAATGAATCCTTCCTCTGAGAGTGGAATCATATTTCATTAATATTACATAGAGTACTTACATGTATTTCATGCTATATGAAAACTGTATAGGTTTTGAGTTTGTGTTTATAATAACAGAAGATAATAAAGGCTTTTACTGATTATTTCTTAGAGTGGTTTTTACTCGAACTTTTTACTTTATTACATACACTATTTTATTTTACCGCTACTGTTTATTCCCTTGGCAAATAATCACTTGTGTTAAAAACATCTCTAGGTGGAGGGCTGGGGGAGGGGGAATTGAAAGAAGGTGGTCAAAGAGGTACAAACTTCCAGTTATGGATGTTAGCTGAACCTATTGTGGTAATCATTTTATAATACATATGGAAATCAAACAATCATGCTGTATGCCTTAAACTTATATAGTGATTTATGTATGTCAATTATTTCTCATTGAAACTGTAAAACACAAAAACAAAAACAAAATCTAAGAGATATGGAGTTGAACATCATGTAACTAAAAATGGACTTTGCATCCTATAACTTGTCTGACTACTCCTGTCTGCAATTAACTGGATTTTTGAATTATGTACGTATATGAGCTTTTTGCAATTAATGGGTCCTCTGATAACCTTTTGTTACTGCTTTTAAATGAATGACTTGGCTACAAGGCTAGCTAGATTCACTTATGAATAAACTATCCAATCTTTGCCATAAATAAATGTTCATAATTCTTTTAGTTAACTACATTCATTTATGAATAAACTATCCAATCTTTACCATTAATTAATGTTCATAATTCTTTTAAAGTAAGTTCACATTGATGAACATATGCTTCGCTATTTCAGAAATTTCTGCATAAACCACTAGACTCAATTTTTCAATAGCAACTCAATGTCTCTTAGTTTTTAAGGTCCCTTAAAAAATACATTTTACTTTATCCAGCCAGGAAGCAGACTGTTTCCAAAACTAAATGTAACCTCAACCTTTTGCCAAGGAAATCCCTTTACCTCCAGAGAAAATAATTTCCTTGACGAAAGGTTGGCATTCCATTTACCCTTCAAAAAAGAAAACCACAACAACACATACTCCTTTTAATTTGAATGAAAAATAGTCAGAGAGACATCTTTTGGGCTAGAACAAAGAAAATGAAAGTTGCAAATAATTTTACATATTTATAATAAATAAATCTTTTGCAAATAAAAAATTCTACATATTTATAATAAAATTGTTTTCAGTATAAAGTTGGTGGTAGAAACCAGTTACATATTTACCTACATATCACTTAACCAGTGAGTAATAAGTTACTGACATTCTGAACTATCCAGACGTAAGAAATGAACAACAAAAAGCCCTTTACTGTCAGCTAACACTGAATGTTACAAAGTCTACATACTTTATTCACAGAAATTCTTATTCTGTTCATTCTTTTATCTAAAACCAATCCTAGTACTAATTTTCAAACACACGTATGTAATAGGCACTTCAGATACATTAATATTAATCCTCCTAGCAACTCTCATAATAATTTAGTTCTCATTTTATATATCAAGAAATTGAGGCACAGAGGCTAAGTAACAGTTCGAAAGTGGCAGAGGCCTGGTTGGAACTCAAATGTTTCTTACTTCAAAGCTCGCATTCATTTTTTCCATACAAGTATAAGAATATGTTTTCTGAGTTAATTAGAATGTCAGAATGGGACAGCCAAAAGCAGGCAATGTTGTAACAGGAAAGAGAACTTGGGAAGAAAGAAACAAACAGAAAACCCTAATAAAATGCCAAAATGAAACGTCTAAAGTATCACCATTGGTAGCTCTTCAGTGTAGGAATAAATAGCTCCCTACACTCTAGGCTCTGAGGGCTTCACTAAACTCATAAACAGCGAAACCATAGCTATCAGTCATAACAACAGTTTGTATCATTGAAAAAAAAGAAAGGTTAGGTTTTGTTCAGGATATCGTGTTAGTAGGGCAGGAAGGTAGAAAATGTATTTTAAACACAGAAATTTTAATCCAGTGGCTAAGATAAAAATGTTAATACTCAAGAGACAAATTTCAGCCATCAAAAAATTAATTTGTAACCCCTATTCTCTGAGGACACCAGATGTACCGGATATTACAATAATATTACTTAAATTCACTTAGGTTTTAATGGATATATGCTTTAGTTCATGAGGATATGCAGGGCAGAGCTTCAAAAAATTAGATTGTTATAGTAGTTTAAGCTTATAATTGCTCTCTGTTATCCTCAGTAGATTCTTACACCTTAACTTCCAAAGACTTCAGTGATAAAAAAGACAACTTTTAAAAATTGAAATTAAAAGTTACTTGGATAAACCATAATGTCAATTGATCCAGTGGCTTAAGTTGCTCATGACAAAAAAAGCAGTGGATACCCTAGCAAAGACTAAATTTTGCTTGGATTATACACACAACGGACATACAGTAAACTGAATAAATTTTGAAAGAACTGTTAAGGCAAATACTAAATGATGATGACGACAAGGATGACAGTAGAACAAGATGAGTACATTCTTTAATTTTTAAATGTGATATTTTATTGTTTCACAATTGAATGTGATTTTTCCCTAGGAGTGAATGATATGGGCACTCTGTTCATGTTTATTTAAGAAGGGCTTTTAAAATTCATCCCAGTGGTATCTCTTTGGTTCTCAAACTCTGTTTGCCAACTATCCTACAGAATTTTAAACTTGTTTGGCAGACATTCTTGCCTGAGAGGGTTGTTGTTGATCAGCAAATCAGTGATGATGTGTTATAGTACCTGGGGAAGGGGTAGCACTAGGATTTTAGTCTTAAGATGGATACGTAAGGATTTAGGCTATAACATTCAAATGTCGGTTAGAGTGATTCTCTTTCAATCCATGGTCTCTTAGGTTTTCTGATTTGGGAAGGACTTTAGATACCTTCTACTCTGCAGAGCATTTTACGCCAGCGTCCTTGATGGGTTTGTTCCCTGATCTCTACTTCAAGGTACTCTCTCCTGGAGCTTTGGGGATAACTTTATTCCATATCAGACAACCTCTCACTACCAGAAAGTTTCCCTTTCTGTCAAATGGTAATCTTTCTTTGGAACAGCTAGCTACTCATTGGTCCTAGGACTAAACCCTTCACAACCTCTTAGAAATGTCTGTGTGCTAGCTTTAAATAGAGCCACTGCTCTGAGGTGACATCTTTGTTGGAATCCATCAAGCACTGAGCCTAAGTCATGTGTATTCTGAGGATAAGAGCAGTAAAGGCTATGTTTGTGCAAATGTGACATTTACCCTGATGTGTTCTGTTGACCCTATCTGTAACCCTCAAAATTAAAACAAACAAACAAACTACTAGATATCCAAATGTCATAGAATCAGAGTGAGAAAAGGCTAATTTCCAAAACTGGAAGTAATGGAGCCAATATTAGAGCACCTTGACTGCCGTTCAAACCCACGCACCTGAAACTGCCTGGACTGTGGACATCTGTTTTAATGGAGTTGACGGCGTATTCTGGCCTGTAGGTTCCACACCATACCTAGAGACAGGAATAGAAAAAGAAAAGCAGTGTGCTTAGGTTTAATCAAGGGTCACGTGTTTGGGCAGGCAGGGAGAAAAGTAAACTTCCTATTGTAAAAATTAAACTGGAATTCTGTATTCCTCAACAACTTACTCTTTAAATAAGGATCAAAGCTAGGCAACCAGGAGCATAATTATCATTAATATGACCCGACAGTCTGTTACACGCAGTGAAATTTCGTCAAGTCAAACCATCTGCCATAATTGATTAAAACAAGAAAACTCAGCATGCAATATCTAACTTACTATAAAATTATAATTCAAAATGATTTTCGTATCTATCAATCAAGAAAGATACAATACCTGGGCAAAGTTCAAGAAGAATAGTTGTTTGTGATTTAGGTCAAGTCCAGGAAGTAATTTTTCTTCGCCATTCTTTTTAACATAATTTTGATAGGCCTAGGCATTTGATGAAACAGAAACATGATGTTTATAATTTCCAAATTTACACACACACACACACACACACACACACACACACACACACACACCATGTAACCAAATAATTAACCTTTTGTATCAGAATCATCATAATAGTATATTTAGATATGACAACCTACAACTATTTCATGGATTAGAAGGAAAATTAGAATTTGTTTATAAATGTTCTGAAAAGAACAGTTTACTGATTAACAAATGACAAGAGGCTAACACATGTCAGATGATCAATAAACGTCAGTTGAATGAATGGATGCCTTAAATAAGCAATGAAACACTTATCTAAATGTTGTTCTATTGACAGATAAGTCCAGCTAGTTGGATGAATGGATTGCCAGAGGAGTCTGTAATTGCTATATTTAGCTTAGTTATTACTCTTAGCAAAATATACTCACACCAGACTTTGAATGATTCTTGCCAAAAGTCAAGGGATTCTCTTAAGATCACTTAGAGGCCTAGTATCCTATGATTCTAAAAATAAGGATGAGCAATTATTTTGGCACCCGGAGCACTAGGCAAAACTGAACCTCAGTTACATTAGGAAGAAAGAATTTAGATTACTTGAATGTCAGAAAATGATTTCAATTCTTAAGGATTTATGGAAACTATTGAAAAATGTAGTTTTCTTCTACTAAGTATATTAAGAAATGGATTGACAACAAACTTTTTGAGATATATCACTTCCAATTCAATATAAAAGAAAGTGATCAATGAGATAAGCCAAAGATATATTTCCCTTCTTTCTACTTGCCATTATCATAGATTTAGTGAGTCTCTACTATGTAAAGATGCTGGGTAAATGGGGGATCCCTGAGCCTGCTCACTCTAGGGAGTTCACCATCTAGCAGGGGATAGGCATTAAATGTTATGATTTCATGTATAATAAAGTATTTGCACAACCATGATTTGCTTCATTATAATAATTCTGTACTTGTTCTAGGGGCGGATCTCCACGGAAGTCCACTGAAGCCAGATTTTGGCCGGAGTTTTACAGCAGTGATTCTTAATCTGGCTGCATATTAGAATAACCATGGGAGTATTAAGAGTCCCAATGCCTTCTGCTTCCAGGCAAGTTGGAGTGATAGGGACTGGATTTATCCTCCTGCTCAAACAACCAAATGATGGACAAGTATATGTGAGACAATGGCTCACATGATACTGGCCATCAGGAAAAACGAGTGATCTCTATGAGGTGGTAAACAAATAAGGAGAGATCTGATTGCCCCAGCCTATTGCTTGAGTGTATCTAGGCTACAATGCAGAGGAGGGAAACCCAATCAGAGTCCATGGGGCTCCTTGAGTTGGGGAGAAGGAACTGAGAGTTCAGGGATACCAAGACAGGGTACTGAAGAGGAGAAAGCTGAACAGATTAGAGGATTTTAAGAGATCAGATGGCCCCCTCTGGTATTCAGCTGCCTATGTGAGTATGCATATGAGCAAACCACCGGGACTAGGGAAGGAGCTAAGCACAAGGATTAGAGATAAGAATGCCTGGTACTCACACCTGGCAAAAATGAAGGATCTCAAGATTCACATAGCCAGGTCTTGTGTCAGCACTGGAAAATAACTCTCTTTTGATTACATTCCTAGTCTCATCTAACAAGTTGTAAAAGCAAGATCCAAAAGGATCAAGCCATTTCTGAGGGATTTAACTGTGTCCTAGAATAAAGCTCAAGAATATTTATAGGAAAACAAAAATATCCAGCACCCAAAGAGGTAAAATATCAGGCACCCAGTGAAAAAATTACCAAGCATTCAAAGAAGCAGTAATCTACCATCTCCTGGGGTGTGGCTGGGATTCGTTCTTTTGGAAACTTGGCAGCCAGCTAATCTTCCAAGCCTCACACTCTGATCATCCACGTTCCGCCAAGTGACCGGCCCCACCAGCCATCTCTCCCACAACTGCTCTGATGCTTCTTCTTTCCTGACCCAACCACTGAGGCTCTTCTACCCTCGAACCCAAACCTTCCTATGGTGAACAAACAGTCCTACATCCTCATCCATCCATGGAACACTCGGTCCATCTTCTCCTTAGAGAAGTCTGATTCTCTCCTGGAGACACCTTGTCCCCTGTACCCTCTCCAGTGGACTCCGCTGGTGCGTCCACATCTGGGCTATCTCAGGGTTGGGAGAAGCGTTGGAAATTACCTTCCCTCCTCATTGTTGCTTCCAAGGCCAGCATTCCTCCACTCTTTGTGAAAATCCCTACCTTTTCTTGTGCATCTAGCATCTCCTAGACCATCTTTTATTTCTTATTTAAACCATCAAATAATGTCAGCTTTTATGGAGGGTTTGCAGCTGTGTCTTCAGCACTGAGAATTGTGGCAAATACACAGGAAAGCCCTCAAATGCAAAAATGAATGCAAGGCTAAAGGAGCTCCTAAGGAATGCTTCCTGACAAACTCCGCTGGCTATAATAGCTTGGATGACTAAAAGGCCACATGCTGAAATTGTGTCACTGAGTCCCTCACTGCATCATTGTAACTGGACTGTGGTTTACTATTATGCCTGTGGATATCGCTGATTATGGTTTCCACATACTGCTTCACCTGTTGTGAAACTGAGGGTCCTATTCAGTACATTGATCAATGACTGAAGTAATCCTTATAATGGAACATCTTTTGTAATAAATGTATTTCAGAGATTATTTCTTAGGAAAAGGTTGCCTCCTCTGTGGACCTTAATATCCCCTCATTTCTGTTGATGTTTCCGCTTCTCCTCAGCTCCTTGTCTTTAGCTCAGTCACAACTGTATTGCCGCTGCCGGGTAGCACGTTAACAATCCTCTTTCTCCTCGTAATTTCCATTTTCATCATGTACTGCTTACATGATATACGTCCTTTGCAAAAGGCTTTACACAAATGATTAAATATGATAAATATATACCCCAACCACTAAAATGGGAAGAAAATATTATGACTCACTCTGTATGCTTGGCCAATACCGCCATTATCAGCAATGTTTTCTCCCAGTGTATTCATTCCATTGAGCTGTTAAAAAATAAAGCAGAACATATGCTTCAAGGCCCTTGACTGTATTCTGATTGTTAAGAAAAGTATCAGCAATTTAAGTATGATTGACCGCATCTAAAACTTTTCAAGAGAATGCTGATGACATACATGCTGTCCACCTGCTAGGTCCCAGGAGAAGTTTCCATACTGGTACACCATGCACTGAGATTGGTCTTTAAAATTATTTGCAGACTGCTGAGTCCACCAGTCAACGAGGTCTCCATCCTTGTTAAAATGTCTGCCTATATTTGTTTAAGTAAAACAAGAACTCATTGTATCAAGAATTACAATAAGATATCTTTAATGTAAATGGCAAGAATTGAAATACTACTGTGAGAACATAAAATTGGACAAATAATGAGAGGAACTGTTATTCTTTCTCATCCACTTACAAACCAATCTGTGTCATACCTTCAACTATCACCTCTTTACATATCTCCTGTATTTATTTATATTCCTGTCAAATATCAGTGGAACTCTAAATCTATTTTGCCAATCAAAAATCTATTTTGCAGCATATCAACATTTAAGTGCCTACTGTCTGCAAGTATAAGATTAAAAAAAAAAAAAAGGAAGAAATCCCTAACCACAGCAGTTTAAGAGTCTTATGGCTATGGACATCTTTCTGTTTAATTTTATGTCTGATTTTAACACATGAACGCTGCCCTCTAAAAGTCTGGAGAGATAAAACATAAACAATCATGAAATAAAGCCAAATCTTATCACTGGTGTTTTCTCAATGGGAATATTTGCTTTATTATATCAGAGTGAGAAGCTCACATTTTTTATCTCACTATTAGAAATTTCTGATCTTCTTAAGTGACACTTTATAAGGAACACTAAAAGTGTGGTGATTATTAGGATAGTGATATGCGGGTGAATAAATGTGTTTTTGTATTGATAAATTATAGTAATTTTTAATCAGTTTTATTAGGCTATGTCTCAATCAAAGGAAGGCCAACTGCACTTTACCACTGTCATCAAAGCCGTGGGTGATTTCGTGTCCTATGACCATGCCGATGCCGCCATAGTTCAAGGAGTGAGACTGCTGGGCGCTGAAGAAAGGGGGCTGCAGGATGCCAGCCGGGAAGACTACAGGGAAAGAAGACGGTTAAGCATCATATACGGTGTTATTCTGTGACGGCAGGCAGGCCTGGGGTTGGCTGTTGCCTGCCAAGCTCTTTTCCAGTGTTTCCGTTGAACCTAATTATATACAAAAATATTTCGTGATAGAAATAAATGCAGGTCTTTTATTATTGATGACAATGAAGAGTTCGTCCTGGATCACCACCATAATCTATGATTTATAATCACAATTCACTTGACAGCCTCTGTTAGATTGTTTTCTGCTCTAAGGAGTTTAGAAGCAAGGAGAAAGGATCATCTTCACTTAGGAGGTCTCTTTTCTCATTGTGAATATTTGGGAGAAATAGCCTCTTAATAACACGAGTATTACTTTCAATGTTATCTTTAACATTTTATCCATGTACCATAACTTATTAGGTAAACAGTCAATCAAATGTATGCCCCAATCACATAATGGTATTTTATTTTCATCAAGGTCTATGACTGTTTATTTCATTAGTTATGGTTGTTGTCCCCCTTCTTCTTGACTGCCCCACACCCCACACCCCAACTACTAGCTCTCTGAAAGCAGAGATTTTTGTGTCCGTACATGTTTGTTTGTTTTTAGTTCATTTGTTTCTTCAGTTCACTATCTCCAGCACCTAAAAATAGAACGGTGCCTGGAACATTCCAGGTGCTTAGAAAATGTGTTGAATAAGTGAATAGCCAATAATAAACGAATGAATAACTGAATTTACTATGGTGTCCTAAAGACTTTAATAAAAAATAACAATTTTTATATGTCTACCCTGACATCTCCATTAGCTTGCTAACTTTCTACCCTTAGGTGTCTTACTAACTCTTTAAATTTCGTGTGTCAAACATCAAACTCCTCATTTCCCCCTCTAAGTCATCACTCTCTTGACTATTGTTTCTGTTAATGACATGTGAAGGGTCTCAATTCACCCAAAGTGAACATTTTCTACTTATTGCAGATGCCTCCTTTCTTTTACAAAGTCTTATATAGTCTACTTAGGAAAAGGCCAGATCATATCCTTTCCTTCCAGTAGCATCTCTGCTGTTTTTCTCCTATCAGTCTTACTGCCACCATCCTAGTTCACACTCTCATTCCTTGCCTTAAGAATTAATTTCCTGGGGCGGCTGCTTAGCTCAGGTGGTTAGAGTGCAGGCTCATAACACTAAGGTTGCTGGTTCGATCCCCACATGGGCCACTGAGCTGCACTCTCCACAACTAGATTGAAGACAACTACTTGACTTGGAGCTGATGGGTCCTGGAAAAACACAATGTTCCCCAATAATCCCCAATTAAAATATATATATTAAAAAAATAAAGAATTAATTTCCTAATTGGTCTTCCCACTTCCTGTCTCACCCAATTGTAATCTATCCTATATCCAATCTATCCTGCAGCCAGGTTGAGGTGCAACTCTGGTCATTACCACTCCTCTGCGGAAAAACCCTGGATGGCTTATCACTGCTCTCCAACAAAACACAGAATCTTTTTCCTGCCCTAACTCCAGGGTCCTCCCCCACTTCTTTGTCTCCCTCATGGCCTCCCCTTTCCTCATAACACTCATAATTTAGTAATTTTATTTTTCATGTTTTAAAACTCTAGTATTCACTGAATAACTGAAACAGTATGTTCTATAATAAAATCATTAGTATAACATCTATTACACACAAAGCCCTGGGCCATTGCTATATGGGATACCAGGAATATACAAGGCGGGCTCTGATTTGAAGAAATTTAAGATCTACTTCACACAGAGTAGAAAATAATGTTTCTTTGTCTTTCTGGTGGGGTGACTATGACATAGCCTTACACATGTTTCAGGGATAATTATTAGATATGTACGGATGAGACTTTAAAACACACTGGGCAATTTAAGTGCTCTCTAGGCCTTAAAAAATAAAAATCTGTAAAGTTGCCATAACCTTCAAAATGATGAAATAATAATAAAAAAATAAACACTTTGGTGAATTTTGATGAAAGTTATACCTCACATGTAGCTGCCTGAGCTATCAAAAGTGCTGAGAAATTATTTTTAGCTTCTACCTAAAAATTATGTACAGTACTATATTAACTTAAAGTGAACACTATCTCCCACACTATGTACTTTGATTAAAATCCACCCATTATACAAAATGCTCTTATGAAACATGGTAACAAGACTAAACATTAACTGTAAAGATCCTGCTGCTTTAATTATACCCGATAAGCCATTCTTCAGACAAGTGATAAGATTTTTATGGCTCAGATTAAATACTAGTTTTCAAGTTCTGCTTTGCAAATTATGACTTTCCCTTTTACTCTGTCAGCTAAATCTCTATGATGATGATTTTCCCCATTAGCCTTATCACTGTTACTAGTAGACTTCACAACTGTTGATAATAACCAACTGCTAAGTCATGGATTTTTTATGTTCATGGATGTCAACAAGTTAGTTAATTAAATAAGTCCTTGGTTCATGAAACAAAGGACTGTTTCTCCCTACCCCATCCCCTCACGTCTCTAGTTTATCTTTCTAAGGCTGCAAACAATTTAATTTAAAATTTTTTGATATAAAGCTCAAGATGGCAATTGGATAAAATCAATTTTTTTGTAGAAAAAAATTAAATATTCTTTTTTATATTAAATGGAATAGGAGTATGTTTGGAAATATTTATTCTTAATTTTCAAGTCTGAAAATAAGACTCCTAAAAACGAACAAGATAGCTTTAGAAAATTTAATTATCTCAAAGCAGTTGTAGACCACCCAGGCTGAATACACTAAATATAAATAATGCATAGATTTCCTAAAGATAAACAGTTTTTTTTTAATTTTTTATTATTAATGAAAAAAGAGAATGCAGCAGCCTTAAGATTTATCTTCTGACTTGATCATATACTTGGATAAGACTTTCAGGTTTAAGAAGATGCCTGAATAGTGCCTGAACTTACAGAGAAACATTTACAAAACATTCAAGTGCAGCTTTCCTACCTGCATGAATCGTTCCCCGAGTTCAATGGAACGAATACACAAGGAATAGGAACCAGTAAATTAAACACTTTCGGTGTAACTTCCTATCCTGGAAGTTGAATTTTTTTACTGATGTGAAGTGGTGGAGGTGCATAAAATTTGGAATGTAGCCTACATGTATGAGTTATGACAAAAAGTGGTGGGAATTGAATTAAAAAGTAGAAATTATTAATATGAATAACTCCTTATATGACAATAAAACAAGTTCTTTTTTACCATAACATAAAAAGACCAGTTTAATATCATGCAATCTAATATAAGGTATTCGTGTGAGGGTGGGAGGGTAATTTATAAGACACATGCTATTCCATACCAATTCTAATTTTGTAATACAATGTAGTAAATGATACCAAATCCATCAAGTCAGTGTTGCAAAAGTTACATATTTAGTGGGCACCTGTGTGCGCACGTGCGCACGCGCACACACACACACACACACACACACACACACACTTTTATCAACAAGAAAGTTGAAGATAGGATCTTCAATTATTTTTAGTTAAGATAATGAATTTTCAAAGAGAAAATTCATGTCAAAGATTTCTCCTCTTGCTTGACACTTTCCCCTTCTCTGAACTGCTATTATTAGCAGACAAGCATATGAAAAGAGGTTAAGAATTTCTCGAATTTCAAATTTCCATCAGATGAATTTATCTTAAGAATCTTTAAAAGGTCTTTCTTATATATTAAGAATGTTTATTATAGCCAATTCTTGATTATTCAGAGGACAGTTGTCTACTTGGTGAAATGTTAGGCCACTTTTACTTTTTTCTTTTCGCTGTGTGCTTGTGTGGTTTGAAGGTATTAAACACAAAATGAGTTTAATACCTTCAAACCAGGTCTTTCCTGATCAGAGAATCTCTGATGTGGACTAATTTTGAGCCATTTCCAAGAATATAGGGTAAATCAGAGCCAAACAAAGTCCTGTCTTGACCTGTTCTAGAGAAGGGATGAAGGAAAGAACATGGTGGGGTGGTCGTACAGAGGGTCTCTCAGTTGGGATGACTTGTTGGGATGACTCAGCACTAGGTCTGATAGGATCCAGGGCCCTTCCTGAGCCGGATTAAAATGAAGTTCTAGCCCTTGGTCAGCCCTAAGGCAGAACCAAAGTCCGGGCTGCCTTGCTTTGCCTTGGGATCCCATTAAAGTTAATTATCCTGTTTAAGTCCAAGTCCAGAATGAACTATATCTTACACTGACAGAATAACTAAATACCAAAAAGGGGTCCTCAAAGTGAAGACTCTCCAGTGATAAAGACATTTCTAAGAAAAGGTTTCTAGGACCACAATGCAGAGGATAGACTGCATGGGCTCTGAGTTGATCATTAAACAGGATCTGGTCCGAGTTTCGGTTATTGTTTCATTAGCTGTGAAATGTATCAGCCTAGACTTTGAGCTAGTTGATTTTAACCCTGTGCACATGCCTTTCTTATTATCTACACGTTATATGAAGGCAACCTTTTCTGGTAATAATTCATTTTCATGTCACATACCAAAGTAAATTCCAGCTGGATTAAAGATTTACTCCAAAAATAAAAACCATAAATAAAAATACTAGAAGAAAATGTAGATAACTTCTTAAATTAACTTAATTCTTAATCTAACTCTTCCTAGGTTTAAAAGCAATGGGGAAAGGTATAATCTAACTTTAAAATAAAATAAGGCTTATCATTTCTTTTAAAGTTTATTTTTTAACCAATGGTAAAAATATGGCAGGATTTTTCATGATTTCTAATCTAATTAGTAACAGAATTCAAGAAAAATGATGCCAAGGGCAGACTCTGAGATACAAAAAGAGTAGTTTAAATAATGCTGAAATTATCTTTCCTTTTGATCCTTGATCCCACTTAGAAATAAATGCCTGGACAGAGTACGCCTGGATGAGCTGGCTATGCTGTTTAGAATGCCTCTGCTAATACTAAATCAGTTGGTTCCTTTTTGGATATTAAAAACCCTTATGGAAAATTGGCCCATTTATATGATATTTAAGAGAGTTTAAAGATGTCAGGGACTTCCCAGGCAAAGAAGAAAATATATCTTAGTTATAATAAGCCATTTCGCTATTCATTATATCATTCACTCATGTATAAATTTCTATGCATATTTCTGCCATATTGTTATTAGTGAACATATAAATTTTTTCCCCTCTTTTGGCTAACAGTGGTTGAGTAAATATAATTTCACATGGTTCACTCTAACATAATTGACTTTTCAACTTTCTGAGCCCTTTAGAGTCTTCTAGAAAAAAACAAACATGGTGATATGGAACAGGACCATTTCCACCAGAGCCAGCATACAGAACTGCCAAGAAAATTAAATCTCTGAAAAGTTGGTTATTGGAACCTTACACCATTTTAAGATGCTGATGCTTAGGAAGTCCTACAGTCAATACAATGTCATAGAGATATAAGGGACTTTTGAAAAGTATTTAGAAATAAAATAAAAGTACTTAGAAATAAGATAAACCATTTAGCTACAAAATACTGTAAAAAAACCCCTATTTAATGTGATTTGTACTAATTTAAATTTTGCAATAATAGTGAAAAGAGGTACCTAAATGCATTTATTCACAAGGAGTATATTTAATAAATCAGCATCTCAGCCTCAGCTGTGCTTTTATGGGGAATATTATAAGCTGGTCATGCAATTCACTACAGGTTGGAAATAATAAAGGGATATTAAAGAATTATTGAGGAATAGACCTTACCCATCTGATTTCTGCTTGCAGAATAAAATGCGTTGACCACAGCTGCTCCACTTATCCACCTGTAGAAAACATAAGAAATTGTTACAAATAATGATACATGATCTGATTCAATCTCCTCACCACAATAAAAGCATTGTTACTACTATTCCTAGGTGAATCTTAACTTTCTGTTTGAAATATGATCAACAAATTAAAATTAGCTCACTAGGTGAGGAAGCTCATTTGAAAGCATTTCTACTTCTTGCAAAATCAGAATATATCCAGGCCTGCAATCTGTTATTTTATTTGCATGCATTTTTATGGAGGAATCCTACAGTAAAACACCCATTCAAATACATGTCTTCAGAAATTGCAATGTATTAAGATTATAGTGAAATGTGTTTAGCTTTATGTTCCTGATACTAGGTAACTATGGCCAACAGTTCTGGAGCAGCCAACAGAATATTGAAGTAGAGGTAGTTAAAATTTCAGATTCCAGTATATATTTAAAAATATTTAAATTTCTAGTTTACAAAGAGCATTTTTGGGGACTAGGATATACCCTTTGCAGGTAGTTAGCTTTGGGTAATGTGCCTTCCATCATTGCCATTTAAAATTATTTTTTTTAAAAAGACATTCCAACTAACTGTACAAAGGTATATTTTTGTATGATGACTGTAAAATAAACTCCAGGTGGTTCTTAAATACATTTGTCTGTCTGAGTATACCATGACTTGGGTTTTGTATAGAATCTACAGGTTTTATAAAATACAGCTTCTGACTTCAGAAGACTAGTTTAGTTGAGGAGACGAGAAAGATGCATAAATAACTGTAATATAAGATTGAATTTGAAAATGGGGGGGAAAAAAACAGCTCCCAGGCAGTAATTTGAGGGTAGCATTAAGCTAAAGAATATGTCTTCATGTATTTCTGTTCAGATATTCTGAAGACTGCATATCAATAATCATAAGCAAGCACTTTTGTGCACTAGGAGTAATATTCTCATTTTAATAGACTATTATACATCTCTATATCTATCTATCTATAGATATAGATATGGATATAGAAAAATAGAAACTGACTTCAGATAACCTCCTAAATGTCAGCACACATGCATACAGTTAAGACAATCATATATTATTATCTAATGGCTTCACTGTAGTTATGCAACTTTCAGGGCAACAATTAGCGTAGCAATTATTATCCTACTCATAGAAAGAGTTTATAGTCATTAGTACAATGAATTTAATCAGAACTGTTTCCAGACCCTACTTTGGGAGGTAAGCATACAAAGCCAGCTGCCCAAATCAGCATTTTAGTTACAATTTCAGTAACTATTGTGCGATGTCAGATGTGAGTCCTATTTTGATCTCTTAAAAATAACCAAGGGAGGGCCATATATTGGGTTGCTGGAAAAGTCATGACACGTCTTTGCAACGAAAAACATAGAAAAAATATGTCATGACTTTTCCGACAACCCAATATAACACATGTCTGATAAATTCTAATTAAGTGTGGGTTTTATCTCTAATAACACGACTATGACATTTATATAAAAGAGTTGGGACTTAAAAAAAATCTAGATAACATTCTGTGAATTTTTCTTTAGGAAGAAAATAAGCTTGAAGATAGAGGGTGTGGATGGGGGGAATGGTTGATCAATGTGTTTCTTCTTTAGTTTGATGTTTTTGAAACAGAGAAAAAACATTTTCAAATAGGATGGTGTGACTGACATATCATCCTTCTTAATTTCATCACAGCTGAGTCATCAATATTTTAATTTCTTGAAGGCTGATGATTATAAGCATAACATTTTATTTATTTTAATTAAACTCCACTTGCTTCCCACATGCTCTGTGGTGACTCACAAAAAAAGCATGTATTTGTAAACCCAAGGGTGCTAGACTAAAATCCAGAGATCAGAAACTATATAACACGAGTAGATTTTGTTTGTGTGACCAAAAGGTATTATGAAAGAAAATATTTATATAAATAAAAATCATGATCAGCAAAAATGACGTATTAGGTCTACGTTTTTATATATGAGGTCTGACAATTAAGTTCATGAACTCATCCTAGAAAAAGTGCTACACACCTCATTGCTGAATATCACTACAGTCACCTTCGAAGTACACCCCTTGGGAAGCTATGCACTGATGCCAGTGCCTCGTCCACCCTTCAAAGCAATTTTGGAACTCTTTTTCTGGAATGGCCATCAGAGCTGTTGTTGTATTACCCTTGATGTCCTGAATGTCATTAAAACTCCCTCACAGACAGTGCAGTGTGAGCTGGCGCATTGTCATAATGCAAGAGCCATGAATTGTTGGCGAAAAGTTCAGGTCATCTAACTTTTTCACGCAGCCTTTTCAGCACTTCCAAATAGTAAAGTTGGTTAATTGTCCAGTTGGTACAAATTCATAATGAATAATGCCTCTGATATCAGAAAAGGTTAGCCACATTGTTGCAACAAGTTCACAAACTTAATTGTCAGTCGTTCTTGTATATGTGTGTGTGTGTGTGTGTGTGTGTGTGTGTGTGTGTGTGTGTATTCACACAGTTATTATGACTCAGATTCAAGTATGGTTCTAAGTTATCTGGCAGGAGGGGCAAAATGGAAAATATGCTCATACTACTGAGGAGAAACAATCTTTCTTGCAGTGACTTTGGAAAGGTATTTCTGATGTGTCCTCAAAATTTGATAGAAAATATAGCAGTAGATATGCATAAACAGCTTATAATTATTTTAATTGTTATAAAAGTTAATTTAACATGTTTTCAGGGCTCAGTTGTTTCTGAATTACAAACTTCTGATGCAGTGATGGTGCACTCTGCACAGGCTTTTATGGGTAACCACAAATGATACACAAATTATTTGGTGTTGGATTCAGGCACAATGCTAATAATGAAGCACAAAAGGTGCCAAACCAAAAAAAATGTTAAATAAATATATTACAGAGGAAAGGACTAGGCACATGAAAATAAGGCTGCAGACAGCAACGGGTCTCAAAATTAGGACACAGATGAATGAAGTTTATACTCCCCATTTCATGTTTATTGCTTTTGTAAAAATAAACGTCATAACTTTTGTTTTTGGTGCTTTTCTGCTCTTCTGTTACATTACTTTAAAGGGCTTGAAATTGCATTTTGATTAATGCTTGTAACTTTTCAGCAAGGAGCGTTTTACATATTAAAATGTCTACTGTGAATTATACCTTCAAGAAAATAGGTAGCTATTTATGACCACAGAGAACTCAAATAAAGTTAGAATTATGGTGGTTAGGTTCACAGAGCACTAGTGTTCAGTGTTTGCCTTTTCTGCCTTGAGATCTTTCACGGTGTGTCCTCAGGTCACCCCTGGGTAATTCACCCAGGTTCAGTTGCACAGGACATACTGTCCTTGGGAATGATCAGAAGTCCAAGTACTGTGATGTGATCATTACATCTTAAAAAAAGTAAAGGTCACGGCTCCGGGCTCCATGTCTAATATTTATGGTCAAAAAGCTAAATTAATGTTGCAAAGAAAATATTTTTCAAATTCAATGATAATGTAACAAAAAATGATTATTTTCATTTGGATACAGCCTCCAAGTTTCAGGAGAAGCTTCCCCTTGTAGAACACAGACCAATCTGACCCTGAATAGCAGTACAGAAAATAGAACATGCACAGAAGAGAAAACCAAATGGTGGTGATTCTTGTCCTAAAAGAATGGATAGTGCTGGCTACCTGAAGACACCTTTACAGTGTGGAGGCCAGACACGAGAAGCCCCTTGAGCAGGTATCAAACCTGAGACACGAGGCAAATATCAGCCTGTTCTTTCATTTCTCTTCCTGCCTCCTGTGGTCCGTACGTGTACGGGTAACGATGTGCATGGTATGGTGTAAAGCACAGAGTGGGAAAGCAAGAAGTAAGCAAGCTTCACTTTTAATGTCTGAAACCTAATTTTGTCAGGTGAACTTATTCTTTGCGGCTTTCAACGCCGGCGAGAAGAGTCACTATAGGGAGCATGGCTCAAAGCTGAACTAACAGTGTGGATGGGAACTCTAACTGGAATACGCTTGAGAGGGGCACCAGGTGTTTCTCTTCCATCTCTTATTACCCTGAAGAACCTAAGTGGTGATAAAATGAAAGCACACAGTCATCATTTTTATGGCAGGAAAGAAATGCAGAAGTCAACAGCCTGATCTTACAGCCTTTGGGATTTAATAAATCCAGTGGATGGCAAAAGCACCTGGAACTAAACTTCTCTTTCACCCACTCATGTGTAACTTTAAAACTTAAAACAACAAAAATGGTTAATGCCCCTTTCCCTGAAAGTGTTCAATTTCTCAGCATTTAGTGGTCTTGAAGCAACTCCTTTGAAATCATCAACAAGATACAGTGGTTTTCTCTGTCTGCCTCATGTACTTCTGGAAAGGAGAATTCTCACTTTGTAATCACAATAACCACTGTAATCCTTTACATTTATTAATATAGTCTCATCAGTGCTTCAAAGTTTTCTATATAACTTCATCTTTCAAACCATCCATATAAGAGAGATGACACCTCCAATTTTCAGTGGTACAAACTAAGACACAGTATGATAATCAAACTCTTTTTCTTAATATACTTATAAACTAAGTAATAAAACTGGGGAAAACATGTAAACTAAGGATTTGATCTTCCAATCAAATTCCCGACTTCTAAGCTGTTGATCTGAATCATACATAACATTTCATCACAATGATGAATGCCACTTTCTTGCCAACCTCTTTAAAAATGAAAGTGCTCATTTTTAAGTTGCTTCTGTAAGGGAGGAACAATCTTTCCTCTACATTTCTAGATTCTTTTGGCTGGTGTAATAATTAAATTAACATAAAACAGATTAACAGGAGAAAAACAAATTTAATTATGTATGTACAGGAGTCTCACATAGACATGAGAGGCCCACAGACAGTCAGCCATTGAGGCTTACATGCCATCCTGAGCTAAGAAGAAAGGGTTAGGGGCCTGGGGAGTCAAAGTGAAGGAAGCAAATTCACAGGAAGATGGGAAGAGCAAATGTTTGATAAACAAATGTTTGCCATGGAGAGGAATTTAAA